CCGAGTCCTGGAACGGTGGTCAGCCATATTGGCTGACCCCAAAGGATTCGGGATCCGAATGGCCGAGGCCGTCCGCCCCTGTCTGCCAGAAATGGCGGACAGGTAGGGACGCGGACTCACCTTCCATGTGGTGCAGGTGCTGACCGGGCACGGGTGCTTCGGTCGGTGTCTGCACCGGATTGGAAGGGAGCCCACCACGGGCTGTCACCACTGCCCGGAGCTGCAGGACATGGCGGAGCACACTTTGGCCGTGTGTCAGGCTTGGGCTCCGCAAAGCCGTGTCCTCGCTCGGGCAGTAGGTTGTCAAGATGGAGCCCTCTCGCTCCCGCACTTGCTCAAAGCAATGTGCGGGAGCGAGGATGTTTGAGGAGCGACGGCCTCTGTTTGCCGGGACGTCATGTCCCGCAAGGAGGCCGCCAAGTGGGAGCGCCGCCCAGGAGACCGTCGCAGGGAGCGACGGAGGGGGCGGCACTCCACAGGTGTGGGAAGCGGGTCCGAGGTGGCTCCGGCCGAGGAGGAGAGGCTAGTCGGAGGCCGCCTCGGGCACGCCTTCGACGTACCGATGGGGAGAGTGGGAGAGGGGGTAAACCCTCTCGCCTACCCCGGGCGTCGGTGATGGCAGGGAGAAGGGGAGCGAGGACCGGTTGGGGCCGGGGCTCGCACCCCTGCCCCCTAACTGTCCAGTAGGGAAGAGGGAAAGCGGGGGCGAGGAGAGAGGGCGAGTGTCCTCTTTCTCCTAATTAACACCGAAAGGCCAACCCGGCTGGACAACCGGCCGGGGCACTGCGCTCTTGACTCCCAGTCTGGGAGGGGCGCGGTACTTAGGCGTGGGGCTCCATGAGAGCCCTGGGGCCGGGGTGTCGGGGAGGGAATGCAGGCGTAGTTCCCCTGACTCCTCCCGCCACGGTCCGAGCGGTAGGCACCCCGCAGGGGCTTTAGTCGGTAGAAGTCCGACATAACCCCCGCCCTCCCCAAGGGGCGGGAGTATCCATGAGGATTTCCCCTGCGTAAAAAAATGGAAAATCCTGCGTGCAAAAACCCAGGCGTCCAGGCTCCGAGTAACCTCGGAGGAGTAACCTCGGAAGAGGCGATCCACGAGGGAGGCCACTGGATCCGAGGCAGGAAAACTTCGTAATCAAACCCGTGGCGATGGGGCCCGCAGCCCGTTGCCGTGAGAGGACCTGCCGTCACTCTGGCGACATCGGACACCCAACGAGGAGAAGGACTACCAATTGTAAAAACTCGGGGATCTGAGCCCGAAAGTATGGCAGCATACACCAGACGAGGGGAGGACAACCCACTGGACCCGGGCAAGCTGGACTCGAGAGACTGAGGCCGACCCAGGTCTCAGTCATCCTTGCCGGAGAAGAAGCTCTGATATCAATCCCGGAGAAGGAGCCCTCCGAGATCAAAACCCGGACGCACGGGCTCGCGAGTCTGAGAGTCCAGACACCCGTGCCGCGGGGAAGGAAAAACCCCGTGGCGATGGGGCTCGTTAGGCTGGCACTCGTCAAATGACTTCGGCCAGCCTCGCGACGCCGGCACCCAACAAGTGGAAGGAAACCCTGATGTAAAAACCAGGGGGGCGGCCTCGTTGAGCCTAGTGTAGGTGACCATCACGGGGAAGGAAAACCTTGGTAACAAACCCTAAGGAGGACAACCATACGCAAAAATCCGGGGAGTGATTGGACCCGTGATCCAATCCGGAGAGAAAACTCCGGAAGAAATCCGAGTGTTCAGGCTCGCGTCTGGGTGGACCAGACATCCTGGAATAGGGGAAGGATAACCCTGATAGAAAACCCGGGAGTCAGCCGTTAGGCTTTCGGTGATCTGACCTGGTGTTCAGGCTCATGAGTCTGGCAGTCCAGACATACGAATTAGAGAGAAGGAAGAACCCTGACTAATAAACCAGGGCGATCGGATTCGTTAGTCTGTAGTCAGACATTGAATGAGGGGATGGAAAACCCATTGACAAAACCCGGGCATCGGGCTTGTTAGTCTGGGAGGTTGCCAGACAATCCGACGAGGGGAAGGACACCCACATGAAAAACCCGAGCTAGTGTGCTCGTTAGCCTTAGGGTGACCTATTCCGGAGAGGAAACTCCGATACCAAACCTGGGTGAGGGCTCGAGTGCTTGACTTCGTGGGCATGCAACTTAGGTAAAGTGGAGGAAGAACCTCAATATCAAACACGGGCGATCGGGCTCATTAATCCGGTGGTGCCGGACACCTGAACAAGGGGAAGGAAAACCCAATAGAAAAACCCGGGCGTGCGGGCTCGTGAGTATGGCAGTCCAGACAACCGATACTAGGGGAGGAAGAACTCCGAATGATAAACCCGGGTGATCGGGCCTGTTAGTCTGGTTAATCAGACATCCAAACGAGGGGAGTAAACTCAATGTAAAAACCGGGGGATCGGAATCGTTAGCCTAATGAGGCAGCTGACCACGTATGGATGAATAGAGTCCTCATGGTTGAACTCGTGTGGTTTAATTCCTCCGCACGAGAGTGACTAAGAGGCAACACCCGGTGGAGTGCGCCACGGACCCCGTGCGTCCTGGTCCTGCCATCGAATCGGACTCCTCCTGGTTTCCGGGAGCAGCGGATAGTCGGCAACAGAAAGTGAGCGCTATAGTGCATCCCCTGATTCGTCAGGCCAATGCCCTTGGAGGCTGGGGGACCTTCGGATGTTGGGGGGCGGAGGATAGTCAACAACGGTGGACAAGCGCTGTTGTGCACTCACTGATCCGTTAGGCCGAGACCTTTCGACATCCGAAGGGTTCGCTCGATGGTGGAAGCAGGAGTGCCTTGGGGGACGGTGCGGGCTACTCAAGGGTGTAGGATGGCCTATTCATCCAGTATGAATGTGTGTGTGAGGAGAGGGGTTCCGGAGGGAGGCTGGCGATGGCGCAGATCCTCGAAGGAATGGGGCTGTGGCAGTGGCGGCTAGGGCCGTCCCCGCTCCAGTGCCGGAAAAGATATGTGCGTCGAATGAACTGGCTCAGGTCGCTTCTGAAGGAGGGTTTTTCTGGTTGCCGGGTGGGCTATTTCCTGAGGAAACTCGGGGGTGCACTCATCGATGTCCCAGTCTTACCCTCGGCGAGGGACCGGCGATACCGCAGCCGGTGTATGGGTTGTGGTGGTGGCCCCGCCGTAGCGGCGCTGCTGCCCTGGCCGGGCCTCGGCATGACGGCTCCTGCTGATGCGCCCAGCGGGGAGCTGGTTGATGCACGCAGGGGCGGTGCTGGGGTCTGGCTGGGGCGGCGGTGCCCGTGGCGACGGCGAGACTGTCGTGCTGGGGGCACGGGCTGGCGGGCACAGGTGACTCCCGTATGGCATGTCCCTGCGCGTCGCCCGTGTTGCGGTCGGCCCGCGCCCCGCCCGTGATACCGCATTGGTCCGCGGCGAAGTTGGTGCGCCAGAAGACGCATGTTGTCAGCGCAGTGGTTGGATGCGGACCTTATCCCGGCCCACTGACAACTATATACGCAACACCCGGAAGTCAGACAGCCCGGAGCACACACCCGCGGGTCGTCCATCTGGATGGGAGTATCCTGGTGTAAAGCGGCTGGAGATAGTCGGCAACGAGGAACCCGCGGGGAACGGGCGACTTGATCCGTCAGGCGAAAGCCGTCATGCATCGGGGCCCACTCAGAAGAGATGGCCGTTGGTTGTGCCGAGTTACTGGTCACCAGATGGGGAAGGGGACCACAAGAGTGTCCCCTTTTTTGAGGGCTAAGGAAGTGGTGCGCATCGTGGCGTCGGCTTGCGACGTCGCGATGCCCCGCCAGCGCCGGGCCGCTTACTGGTGGACAGAGGCCATCGCTGAATTGCGAGAGGCCTCCGTCCGAACCAGACGGGCGTATGTCCAGGCCCGGCGGCGAGGCGGGGATGCCGCGAGGGAAATGGGAGCTACTTCCTAGCGAGAGAAGCCCTCAAAGCCGCCATCGCCGAGGCTAAAAAGAGAGCCTGGGAGCAACTGGTGAGCTCTCTGGATGATGACCCGTGAGAGCGCCCATACAAGCGGACGATCGGAAAGATCTGTCCGTGGGCGCCCCCACTGACGGAGGTCATGGACCCCCAGGCCTTTGAGGGCCTCTTGGACACTCTTTTTCCGAGAATGTAAGCCCCCTCCCTCCAGATCCCTGTCCCTGAGTTAGAGGATGGAAACTGGGACGAGGACCTGGAGGTCACCCCAGAGGAGTTCGCCAGAGCCAGGAAAAAGCTTGGGGCCAAGGGCAAAGCCTCTGGCGCCGACGGGATTCCTGGCCGCGCCTGGGCTGTTGCCCTCGGCGAGGGAAACTTGTCCGTTGCCACACGGGAGGTGATCAATGGTTGTCTGAAGGAAGGGGTATTCCCGCCAGAGTGGAGGAGGGCCAAGTTGGTCTTCCTCCCGAAGGAGGGCAAGGCACCGGGTGGTGCGTCGGCCTATAGGCCGATATGCCTGCTGGACGAGGCGGGCAAAGTGCTAGAACGCATTATTGCCGACCGCCACGTCCAGCATTTTTCCTCAAGGGGGCCGAACCTCCACGCATGCAGTTCGAGTTCAGGCCCGGACGATCAACGTTGAATGCAATCCAGCACGTCCGGGACCTAACCCGAACAGTTGTGGAGAAGGAGGGCGGAGTGTTGTTGGCGGTGTCTCTCGACATAACCAATGCCTTCAACACCCTGCCCTGGATCCGCCGGAGATCGGACGGGCCCTCGAATATCACGGAGTGCCCGTATATCTCCGGCGAATCCTATCGGCCTGCTTTAAAAGCAGGGGCCTCGACTACTCAGAGAGAGGCGGGGTCCAAGTTCGGCGCACCATGGAATGCAGTGTCTCGCAGGGGTTGGTTCGCGGCGCCCTGCTGTGGAACATCACGTTCGATAAGGTGCTTCGCTCTCCCCTTCCCCCGGGCTGCCACGTCATCTGCTATGCAGACGACACATTAGTGATGGCCGGGGGGAACAACTGAGGGGAAGCCCGCCTCCGAGCGAAGGCGGCAGTGGCACCGATGGTGGGTACCATCAAGGGCCTGGAACTGAAAGTGGCGCCCCAGAAGACGGAGGCTATGTATTTTCATAATGGCCGTCAAGGGGCGCCGAAGAAGTCCCGGGTCCGAGTTGATAGTGTCCGCGTCTGCGTCGGGCCCACGATAAAATATCTGGGCCTGACGTTGGACAGCCGTTGGACCTTCAGGCCACACTTCAGGGGCCTGGCCCCCCGGGTTTGCAAAGCCGGCATTGGCTGGCCTCATGCGGAACAAGGAGGGCCTTGGATGGCACACTCGCTCATATGGGTGTTCCGGTTAACCGCCACCGTCGCAAATACTAACTTGATGCGCCAGGCTGTGCGTACGGTGGTGGCGAGGGCGATTAGGGGGTACGGCACCATATCACATAGGGCGGCGACGGCCCTGGCCGGCTTCTCCCTGTGGAGCTCCTCGCCGAGGAGAGACATGTACTCTGCTGGAGGGTGAAGGAGTTCCGCAAAAAGGGGGAGAGGGTAACGGCCAGGGACCTGGCGGCCCTGAGGTTTCAGGCCAGAGCTCGGGTCCTCGACGGTGGTCGGCCATTTTGGCTGACCCCGAGGGATTCGGGCTCCAAACGGCTGAGGCTGTCCGCCCCTGTCTGAAATGGCAGACAGGAGACGCGGACTGACTTTCCATCTGATGCAGGTGCTGACCGGGTATGGGTGCTTCGGTCAGTACCTATACTGGATCAAGAAGGAGCTCACCGCTCGATGCCACCACTGTCCGGCGCCGGAGGACACTGCGCACCATACGCTGGTCTCATGCCCAACATGGGACTAGCAGCGCGGTGTCCTGGCCCGGGCGGTGGGGTGCGACGTGGAGGTCCTCTTGCTCCCGCGTACGGTCAAGGCCATGTGCGGGAGCGAGGAAGCATAGGGGGCGGCGGTCTTCTTCTGCAAGGACGTTATGTCGCAGGAGGCCGCCGAATGGGAGCGTCGCCCCGGTGCCCGCCGTAGGGTATGGCGGAGGCGACGCTCCCCGCGGGTGGGAAGCGGGCCCGAGATGGCGCCGACCGATTCGTCGGGGGCCTCCTCGGCTGCCTCGGGTCCGCCTTCGAACGCGCAGGAAGGGGGACGACGAGTGTGAAACTCACCCGCTTCCCCCCATGCGTTGGTAGGGACAAAAAAAGAAAAAGGGGAGTGGAGGCCTGGTTAGGGCTGGGCCCCACTCCCCGCCCCCTTTGACGAGCAGAGGGGCTAGGAGGGAAGGTGAGTATCCCCCTCCTCTATATATAACCAGAAGGCCAACCCGGCCGGGCAACCGGTCAGGGGACCGCGCCCCCGACTCCCTCTGTGGGAGAGGACACGCTATTTGGGCGTGGGGCTCTGGGAATGAGCCCTGGGGCCGGGGTATTGGAGAGGGAATATGGGAGTAGTTCCCCTGACTCCCCCCATCACGCTCTGAAAGGTAAATACTCCGGTGGAGTTTTAATCGGTAAAAGTCCGACATAACCCCCGCCCTCCCTAAGGGACAGGAGTATCCATGAGGATTTCCCCACCGTTATAAAAAAAGAAGGGTGAGGAGGGGGAGGGACTACGTTATGTAATGATGGTCCGAGAGGGTCTCCCCCTTCGCCTCCACCTCCCACTTCCGGAACATCCGGGCGGCCGAGGGGGAAGCCCATATCAGATCAATGACTTACTTCTTCTTCAACTGCACGCAGATGCTGGTCGACCCCCTGTTCATTAACAAAGGCCGAATCCTGCCGCCAAGTCGACCACGGCTCCTCCCCGAGTGTCCTCCTCCCGGGGACTACACCCCCACCCCGTGGAGTGGACGTTAAAGTCCCCGGCAACCATGACGGGTCGAGGGTGGCACCGTTGCACCACCTCCCCAACCCAATCGAGGATCCTCATAATCGGGGTAAGTTCGTCAAGGCCGGCCTTATTTCTGCGGTAGGGGATATACACTCCCACCACAGTGACAAGATCCCAATTAACCGCCACATACGAGGTCCTTGCCCTGAGTACACAGGGCGGGGACTCCGTCGCGGGACTGGCCACCACTGGCCACTAAGCCGCACCGGCTCCCGAACCAGCTTGGACTGCTGGCCGGGATCCAATGCGGCTCAGTGGCCAACCCCAGCCCGGCGCCCAGTTCCACAAGTCTCTGCGCTCAGAGATCTTGGACTCGGGCGCCGCGACCAAGGTTGGCCTGTAGGACCCGGAGGAGCGTGAAGGCTGAGCCTTCTACGCCTCCTCCGTGTACCCTAGGTCTTCTTCCTCGGAGGAGACGTCTATCGGAATGAACTGCTCAATCTCCGACTCAGTCTCCCCCGAGGAGGCTTTGGCGGTGGTGACTACTGTCGCCGGTGCCTCTTCGGAAGCACAGGGAAGCCTTTGCGGTGCCTTCCTCTGGGTATGAGGAGGGGCCGCTCGGTGGGGGAGACGGGGGTGGCGCGCCCTCCCACTCCCCTTCCTTGTCTAGGGTTAGTGAGAGTGAGGTTAACCTCCACCCGCCATACCTTTTCCTCGGTCTCCTTCCCTGAGCATGATGAGGCAGTCGCGACGTCCTTTTCGCCCTTCTCCGCTCCGAGATTCCTGGGCGCCGCCTTTCTCTTTCCTCTTTGGGGCCTCGGCTCCCGTGGAGGCTGGTTTCCCAATTCCATCGAAGCCGATTCCCCCGTTGCGGGAGAGGCCAGCCCAGCCGCCCCCCCCCGTCTGCGTCATTTCCCTTGTTGCAGGGGAGGCCGGTCCAGTCTCCTTTTCCCTCGTCGCAGGAGGGGCCGGCCCGACCTCCCCTGACTCCGTTGCAGAGGAGGCCGACCCGACCTGCCCCTTTTACTTCACGGGATTCCTCTATATAGGAGTACTCCCCACTCCTCCTTCTCCTTCCTGTCTCCCAGACCTTCTTGCCCCTTCCTTCATCTTCTTCCTTTTCCCGGAGAGGTGTTTGCAAGCCAGCTATGAAGGTCAACTTTGTTTTTTAAATAGAACCCCTTATTTTTCATTGGAAAGCTTATCTCAAGAGCTTTCCAAAACACTATAACAAAGTCATTTTTATTAAGTTCTTTCCGAGTTATGACGCTTCAAAGTTACAGTACCGCCGGCATTAACATTACCCAGAATGTATCGTGCGGAGATTGCACGGTCGGATTTATACCTCGCGCGCGCGCGTGTGTGTGCGTATGTGCGTGCGTGCGTGTGTGTGTGTCACTACAGGGATCAGGACAGATCTACTGGAGGGTGCGAGAGCTCCGCGAGGAGGGAAGGCCTATCGGCCAGGAGCCTAGCGGCCCTGAGGTCCCAGGCCAGAGCCCGGGTCTTGGAGCGGTGGTCGGCCATGTTGGCCCGGCACCGAACGGCCGAATCTGCCCGCCCCTGTCTGCCGGTGATGGCAGACAGGAGGGGGCGCGGACTGAGCTTCTATCTGGTGCAGGTGTTGACCGGACATAGGTGTTTCGGTCGGTACTTGCACCGGATTAGGAAGGAGCCCACCACCCGATGCTATCACTGCCCGGTGCTCGAGAACACGGCGCATCACACGCTGGCCACATGCAGAGCATGAGGCCAGCAGCGCCGTGTCTTCGTCCAGGCAATGGGGTGCCAAACGGGAGATCTCTCGCTCCCGCGCATGGTCAGAGCCATGTGCGGAAGTGAGGAGATATGGGGAACGACGACCTCCTTCAGTAGAGACATAATGTCTCAGAAGGAGGCCGCCGAGTGGAAGCGCCGCCCCAGAACACGTCGCAAGGAGCGACGGGGAAGGAAGCGGCGCTCCCCGGGTCTAGGTAGCGGCCCCTAAGTGGCGTCGGCCAAGAAGCGGCCTCCGATTCGTCGGAAACCTCCTCGGCCGCCTCGGGGCTGCCTCTGTCCGCGCGGGAGGGAGGGGCAAAGGGTGTAAGACCCGCCCCTTCCCGAGCGGCCGTGATGACAGGCAGAGAGAAGTGAGGCCTGTTTGGGGATGGGCCTCACTCCTCCGCCCCCCTCGCGATTAAGAGGGGTGCTAGGAGAGTGGGTCCCCACTCTCCAGAAATGGTACCAGGTCAACCCGGCCGGGCAACCGGCCGGGGCGCCGCACCCCCGACTCCCTTTGTGAGAGAGACGCGGCACTTGGGCGTGGGGCTCCAATAGAGCCCCGGGGCCGGAGTGTTGGGAAGGGGATGCAGACGTAGTTCCCCTGGCTCTCCTCATCACGGCCCGATTGGTAGACATCCCGGTGGGGTTTTAGTCGGTAAGAGTCCGACATAACACCCGCCTCCTCAAAGAGGCAGGGATATCCATGATTTCCCCACCGCTATAAAAAATGCAGTTATCGTCGCTATATGCGCGAAACACACCGATTTAGAAATCTCCAATTTTCTCAATTGCGCTTGATCATTCGTATATAAGGTTCGTCGTCAATTGGAAGCATCAGCTGGAGATGTAGAAACTGTTGCAAAACGCAAAAAATATGAGGAACGTTCGGACACTACTAGAAATACACAATTTGTCCAACAAGTGCAAAAGATCGTTGACGAAAGCCCTTCAAAGTCCATGAGGGTCGTTGCGAGGGACCTGAATGTCTCTGAGAGCCTAATCCGTCGAGTTGTCCACGAAGACCTCCGCTATACGTCCTACGTTATGCGCAGAGGACAGTTTATGTCGGCACAAACTCGGGAACAGAGACTTATCCGAGGAAAACATCTTTTAAACAAGCTTAAGCACCTTGAAGTTCCTAACATGTTGTGGTTTTTTTCTGACGAAAAAAATTTCGGCCAAGACCAAAAAATCAATCGGAGAAATGACAGATGGTTATGCTCACATCCTACAGAGGTTCCCCGTGTTATGCACACGAAGTTTCCAGCAACTGTCATGGTTTTAGGAGTTGTGAGCAACGAAGGACATGTTATGCCACCCCACTTCTTTCGTCAGGAGCTTCGGGTGATCGGGGAGGGAATTTTGGCGCAGTTCCCCTGACTCTCCCCACTTCGGCCCGATCGGTAGACATCCCGCAGGGGTTTTAATCAGTAAGAGTCTGACATAACCCCTGCCTCCCCCAAGAGGCGGGAGTATCCATGATGGATTTCCCCTGCGTTATCAAAAAAAAAAGGGGCTTCGGGTGAATGCTGCCGCCTACATCGAGGTTTTAGAAACAGTTGTGAAACCTTGGATTGATAGTGTACATGGGAATAGACCATACATATTCCAGCAAGACTCTGCTCCTTCACACAAAGCCATGACGACACAAGATTGGAAGATCGAAAATTTCTGTGACCACATTACCCCAAACTTATGGCCACCTAGCTCCCCAGACCTTAATCCCCTGGATTATTACATATGGGGCGTAGTTGAGCGGGAGTCCAATAAACATCTTCATAATAATATTTCATCACTGAAGGATGACAACTATAACAACAACAATGATCAAAATGAACAAAGAGCATTTGATTCGGGCATGCAATGGTTTCCGACCCCGGATTGAGTCCGTTATTGCCGCTAATAGGGATTTTATTGAGTAATTGTATAGTCTAGGAGTCAATTAACGTCGTGTAAAAATTTCATGGAATTATAATAAATTTTGCAAAAAATATGAACAAATTAGTTTTAATGTCAATTTGTCCTCAAATACCGTACGCACCCTGTATATATGAGGAACATCCGACGACGGACTTTCTTAATGTGAAATTTACACTTTTCAACTTTGGCTTGAAATAACTCAGTAACGAGAGCATTTGGGGCAAAAATAAAATTTAGTTTCATATATCATATTATATGTTCATATATCATATGATGTTCATATATCATGTTCATATATCATATGATATGTTATGTAATAAGCTCCTGTTGAATCGATTGCGC